TGATTTTGTTTAGAAATCACGCGGATCACTTAGGTGCAATAGAACCTAAAGAATTATGACCTTTCTACAAAAGTTAATAATAAAATTTTGAGACTAATTAAAATTTAGGCTTAAAACAATCAGGACTTTCAAAACTTACACTTTAATTTCTACATGGTCTTCGGGGCAAATTTTAAATGATTTACATAGCATGGCCATCACCAAGTCATAATTAACATAGCCTCAATGCTTAGGACTTATTAGACAATTGCATCATACTTGCATATTCCGAGGAGAAGCCCTCATGCTTCTCTAACCCGACTGGACCAGTATAGATTTCTACTTAGGTGATCTTCAAGTGATTTAGAGTGTTAGAGGCTTCCTCGACCTAGATAGGAAGTAAGCACTTTGTGAGAGCATTGCAACATCGTGGTCATACCTCTCTTCGTTTTTTTCACTCTAGCGGCATCCTTGCCACTTTAACATGTATAAGTCCCACCTCTGCTCTTCCTACCTATATTAGGTCATAAGATTAGAGTTTCCTTTTTATTACCTCAAGGCTACCGAGGTTCCCTTGAACGACGTAATTCACGAATTGCCGATGAGGGGTTCTCTGTTGTGTTGGATCGACTACCTTCATGAACAAGTAGACTAGGGTTCTAATAGCTTGGGATGGCGGGCCCGTGATATCATGACCCGACTATCTCTACCTGATTAAGATTACTCTATCTTTCTTTTAGGACCCCCTTTAAGCCCTATCACATCTTTGATGGTTTGTTGTTGTTGTCTTGTAGGCCTCGATTATGGATAAGCCACCTCCTGTTTAGGATACGGAGATTCACCCTCTACCCTTATAGCCTGACGAGTCTTGAGAGCATAGTGTGGATCATATGGGATGACTTTGTTATTTCATAGACCATGGTCGCTGATAAGCTGCCATTCGTATGAAATCATGAGGGACTCACTCCCTATCGGTGTGGATCAGTGTGATTTTTGAAGGCATAGAGACACTCATGTGAGATAATCATCATTTGTAACACCCTATATTAGTTGTTATACAAGTGTAAGCATGATTATTTTAATCGAGAGTATTCTTTGGCACCCCCCCAAAATATAATTAACCAAAGGGATATGTTTTTTGGGAGTTGCTCTTGACCCCAAAACAAGCACTCACACTTGAATCTTTGGTTGAGGGTTGCTTTCCTAGGGTGGTTTGCTTTGCAGATATGTTTCTAATGCATTTTCGATTTGATCTTGTTTGAGCATATGCTCTCGGGCTATCACGTAAAGTTAACTTTTAACTTTACAAAAGTTTCTCATGTTCTTTCTCTTGTTTTTCTTCATTGTCGTGTGTCCTTATCTTTCGATTCCTCTATTCTTCTTATCATCCATAGGATCTGGAAGTGGGTTTTACTTGAAAAAGGGAATTATACGACGATAGACAAGCTGACGAATCTAAAAAAAGAGAGTCAATATGTCCATCAAGATAAACTTTTATTTTATTCTGGATTTCAAAGTATTTTTAAAATAATTAGCTAATAAATAATCAATAAATGCTAGAAGATATATAAAATAAAATTTTGATTTGTAAATTTTGAATAATGTTTATGTCGATAAGTCCCATAAGATTTAATCTACATCATATAAAAAGTTGTGCGGTAAGAAGTTTGTAAATCTTCGTAGATCAGAGTTTGTGTGAAATTTCAACAAATAAAATACTAAAATATAATGAAAAAGCAATGAAATTGAATTTTGAAGTAGTTTAACAACCTAAAAGAAGCATGACTACATGTGCATCAGTTGAGTTATTATATATGATTATTTAGGTTTGCATGTGTTGTGATTGAGATCATATAGATTCTCTAGAACATGAGATGAGATGACTAATGGACAGCCTAAAAGAAGCAATTTGAGAGAGAGAGAGAGAGAGAGAGAGAGAGAGAGAGAGAGAGAGAGAGAGAGAGAGGAGAGAGAGAGAGAGATGATGAAACCTTCACAACAAATGCAAGATTATTACAATCTTGAATATATGAGGGAAGAGAGAGAGAGAGAGAGAGTCTTAGAAGAGATATAGTTAAACCTAGATTTATTCACTAGCTGATTTACAAGCATTGGAATATCTAAGAAGATATATTTGCAAAGAAGGGATATTTAATACCCTGGACTCTTACATGTGAAAATCAATCACACTACTCAATGTGTATTTTATTAGTAGATGCTTCTACATGCCCATTAAGATATATTTTTATGTTATTCTGACATTTAAAGCATTTTTAAAATAATTAGTTAATATATAATAAATAAATTCTAGAGAAATATATAAAAAAATATTTGCAATGTAAAACTTGAATAATCTTTAAGACTCCTTTATTAGCCTGATTTACAGATTATCTTCACCAAAATATAAAAAATAATAAACTTTAATTACAATGATTGTTTTTTATTTTTTGACGATAAATATAATATGTAAATAAATGGTTAATGATATAATTGTAATTTCTTAAAAAAATGTACATGTACGGGCATAGAATGTTTTTTAGACTCTTTTGACATTCGATTTGCAAAACTTTTTCACCAAAGTGCTGTAGACATGATAACTTATTTTATGACTATTTTTTCATAATTTTTGGAGTTCTCGATTTCATGATATAAGATTTTTTATATGATTTTTATAATTAAAAAAATAATTTAAATAATTATGTATATGTCCTTTGCATTTTTCCTATATAAAATACATTTAAGTGGCTTTTATCCACAAGCTTCCCATAACATTTCATTTCTCAAACCTAGAGCATAGCGGAAAAATAAGGGAGAAAGTGAGGGAGAGAGAAAATTGAAGCACTTCTTTGGATGTCGCGTCTCAATTTTTATGGGACATACCAGTTAAGAAAATTAACAGACTCAAGATATGTTATCATTAGCCTACCTTTGATTTTAATGATTTTACACTTTTGTGTGTTTTCCAAACTTTAAACTACCAAAAACATATAACATTGATGATATCCCTCTATTTTGGAAACTTTCACCATTTAACTTTTAATATGTTATTGTCCTAGCTATTCTGCACATTTTGACATATGTATATTGAATTTTTACTAGGTATTTATTTTGTTTGAGGTAAAAGTCTTTATTTGAGTTTTACAAAATTTTATAAAAATATAATTAAAACTATGTATATTATGAAATTCTTAAGAAATAAACTTAAGAAAAGCATTAAAGAGATTTAGGTGCATCATAGCACAAGGTAAGTTTTGATGATAATCCCTTGGTTTACTGAGCTAGGTATCGGCCACCTAGAATCGATCGAGCATTGCGTAGGTATCATCAATCAGGTTGTTCTGACCTTTAGGAGCTAACCATCCATTTTTTCGCACTTTCCTCCTCGCTAAAACCTCTAGGAAGATGTCATAAATGAGCTTTTCAGCTCCAGATATGTTGTTGCTTGAACTTTTTGGCTTGGTCCCTGTAAGAAGTGTCTCTGCAGTGTATTTCTACTAGTTGGCGTCGCTTCCTTTTATGTTGGCAACATGCTCCAAACTCACCACACTTAGGATTTTGAATCCATATTTGTTTTGTGAGGCACATTCATTGATCAGAGCTATAAAAGAACTGGGGTAGAGAGAGAGACATAGTAGAAGAAAGAATGAAAAATCACACATAGACTTGTCGAGTAGGGGCAAACTGGGGTATTCCTGAGCTCTGTGAACCATTTTATATCATGTGAGTGGAAGTTACAAGAGAGAAGGGGTTAGAGAGAGTTCTCCATATAGGAGATTAGTCTAGAGAAGAAGCGCAAAAAAGCCTAAAGGCCAAAAGCTCCTAATACATGCTATGGTCCCTGTATTTACAGAAGATAGAGGAACCAAAGGTAAGAGTTACATGTTTGCCCCTGCTTTAATAGAAGATATTCTTGTCTTTTGGCGTGTTTGTGTCTTTCCATATTTATAACTGATTTTAGCACATTTTCATACAAACCTGGGTCAATCTTTGTTTTGGGAAGTGAGTCGGGTTATTGTTTGGACAACGGTCGGCCTTCGCTCTGGGAAGTTGGTCGGCCTTAGGGCAGCCAATCGAGTTGTCTAATTATCATTCTTTGGTAATTTCTAGAGATTATAAAGAAGCTGTTGAGAGAGCTTCACATTGATAATCCTTCGATAGGTCATTGGACATGTCATTGGTGTGGATCTATCTTTTATTAGACTAGGTGGCCCTTGACCTTCAGCCGATGGACAGTCCTTCGGTCGATAGCCAACCCTTCAGTCGGCTGGTTGTCGGTCGACTGGTGGTTTTCAACCGGTCGACTTCATGAATAGTTGTCAGTGGGATTCCTATCATAACTTTTAATCCTTACAATTGAATTGTATAGAGATTTGTGCATACCATCTTTGTATGTACATACAAATAGTTGGATTTTAACTTCTTAATTTTTCACGTTTGGCTTGATTTTACATTAAATTGAAACGTAAATCCAATTAAAAATGCATACAAAGCACCACCTTAAAATTGTCATTTTCGCCATTCAAATAACTTAACTTAAATTACGACTAATCCTACCTTAAACTTGTTACCAAATGCCCCCTGAGATAACAGACATCTACTTTTACTCAATTTTCGGCAGGCAAAAATCATCATCACTATACTTTTAACATGTTCAACGATTTGCATACAAAAGAATTCAGTTAGATGACATACTCTTTAGACTAATTGCTTTGTTAATGGACTCGAGCTGTAAGTTATAGTTCTGTTTATAAGCTAGGCTGTAAAGGCTTTGGGGCCAACTGAGATGCTTAAATTTTTTTATTTTTATTTATTTATGTTTTGATTTAAAATAAAAAATAATTAACATGTTAAAAAAGATTTAATTATTTTTAAAAACATTAAAACACCCAAAAAATTTATTTGTAAATGGTCTTTAAAATAACTTAATTTTTTTAAGTTAAGAACAAAAATATATAAAAAATCACTACATAAAAAGATTTAAAAATATAAAAAAACAAAACACAAAAAACAAAAATCCAACAGTCATTTAATTTTCTTTATTAAAAAATAGTCCATAACATCATGAACAGATTCATGGCTGTTCTTCCATAGTACCAGAGCACAGCATCATATTCTGCTAAAGCACACCTTCCACAGCTTCATACAAAAATATCTACATAAGTTGATATTTAGGAGGTAAAAACTGATATATCAGGAGGGACCAACAAGTTGCTGAATGCTATTATCCTTGACAAATTAGCAGAAAACGACGTGCTGAAACTTATCATCCACCAGCTACAGAAATAATGCTATGGAAGAAAATGGACTCCCAATTGCAGACTTGTCAAATCCATCTCAACAAAAGGCCACTTGCTTCAGCATAAGAGCATGACCACATTCCTTCTTCCAATTCAACCTACCAAATCTTGCCTACAAACAATTTTCCTAATTTATTTTGTTTACTTACACCTCATGTGCAACAAGATTAGGATCGGATAAGGAACCTGCTTCTTTCAATCTTACAGATTCTAACTTGGTGGATAGCTCTGCCACCACAAGCCTGGTCAATAGCAGCCCAGCCACAAGTGCAGCCCCCATCAACATGATAAATACTGCACCCCAGCTCTTGGCTGAGATGTATCCGGTCAGCAAGGGACCGATAGCAGCTCCTACAGAACCTGTACCATCTATGATCGCCGTCACCGTCGCCAGCGCACGAGAATTGCCATCCAAGGAACTATGGGTGCCGAGGTCAGCCGAAACTGCTGTTGTTATTAATGCATATGGACCATTAACGAGCATTCCATTAACAAGCATGAGAGCAATGTTCCAGTAAAGAGAGACACTTCCATAGATGCGGTAGAGGTAGATGGCTGGGATTGCACAGTACATGAAGCACGCCGCCGTCAATGCGCGGGCATCAAACCGATCTGAAATATGACCGGCAAGAATGCCTCCAATCACTCCACCCACGTCGAAGAGTGTTGATAGCGTTCCCGCCATGGAGTCTGATAGGAACTCGCCATCAATAGCTACAAGTAGGAATATAATGTAAACAAGTATGTTAGGAATATAATGTGAAGAGGCAAAGTTACACACACAGGAAGATTTAGAAGTTAACATAAAAAGCGAAGGCAATTTTCATTTCTGTGTCTCATAAAAAATTCAGCACATGCATTCAGTCTAACGTAAATTGATATGGTATTGTTTACAGAATGACAGGCTTTGATTCAGAAGCAATTAGAGCTCAAATAAGAAGCTAACCTATGTCGCTGATGTAGAAAGGCAGCCAGTATAGGAAAGTATAGGCCACCAGTTTTGAGAAAAAGAGACACAGAGCAAATGGAGCAACACCAGGGATTCTCCATGCTTCAAAAAAACCGATGGCTTTATCCTCTGTATCCGTTTTACCTTCTAAGAGTGGCTCCATTACTTTATCCTTCTCAGGAAATTTAAGTAAATATTCTTCTTTCTCAAATCCAATAGCTTCAGGACTAACTGGCAGGAAGAGAAAGACCATCAACCCAACAAAGGTGATGAGAAAACCAGGAACAGCAAAAGACCATCCCCATCCATAACTCAAACAAGCAGAACCAATAATTGAGCCAGCAATATTCCCTACTGATGTGTGAGCATTCCAAATACCCATTATTAGTCCTCTCTTACTCTTACCAAACCAGTTCCCAACCACAGCCACAACCGACGGCCATCCTGTGGACTGGAACACACCCGCAAACAACTGAACCACTAGAAAGTAGTAGAAGCTATGGATGTTTAACCAGTAGCCGGCACCGAAGAGAGTGGTGAATAGACCAGTACCCACCATTCCCATGGTTAGAAGTATCCTCAGGTCCACACGGTCGCCTAAATGTCCAGCGAAGTACATGCCCAGGGAGTACATTGCGAGAAAGGCAACATCAATCTCACCAAGCATGGCAGTACCATCTACACCATCAAATGGTGCCCAACCATGTTGGAGTTTTGAATTTTGTAGTTCATGGTGATCTGTTTTAAGAAAATAAGATCTTGTCCAATGAACAAAGCCCAATTGTGTTGTGCGAGGATCCAGGACACCTTTGACAATACTTGTTGTCTTCCTGGTTGCATGGTAAGAAGCATATGCAAAGAATGTCAATAATAGAACAATTGCTTGGTATGTCTTGAAGCTGAAAACAACTTTTCTGATGGATTTGTTGCTTGAGGTATTGCTTCCATGATCATGTAATGGAGCCATGATAGATGTGCCGAAATTGCCACCCTGAGAAGGCAAGGCTGGGTTCCTTCTTTGATTTGACTGAAGTTTAATCTTCTAAAGAGAGAGAACATTTACCTGCACATTAACAAAATAAAATTAGATTGTCAAACTTGCCAAAGAAACTTCCAAATATAGATAAGACATGAAAGATAACTCCAATTGCACTCTCACAAGCATGTAGACCCAAATTTAGACCTTTACACATTATTTATTAGCTTATCCAGTTATTTTGATCAGCAGTATGAACCCTTAGTTTCCATTTATCAAGCGAACTTTAGTAGGTTGATTAGAGCATTTGGATAGAACAAAGAAGAAGAAATGGGTTTCCGTCCATGTAAAACAATTGATTTAAAAAAGCAGGCATGCTAAAATATTCCATCTCATATAACAAATTCAGAAAGAATTTGTTAATTTTTATCCATTTACTGACTGGCTCATAACCTCGACAAAACCAGAAATACAGAGAACTAGACCTCTTATAACAAACCTAATCAATTTTCACCTTCGAAACAACTGCTTAATTTGATGAAAAACAGGCTTTCGGATGGTGTAAAATTCTAGACATCGAATTCAGTTAGAAAAACTGAGATTGTGTTTACATGTGTATGTTTCGAAATCATTCTGACTCCAAGAAATCCAATCCATTACTTAACTCGAGGGGATCTAACCGAAATAGTAATAATAGCAGATACAAATTGAACTGAGATGATTTCTGCAAATTCTCTAATAATCAGATGACAAACCTACAATTCTAACCTAAACACAGATCCTAAGACATTAGAACTGTGGGATTGGGATTATAATCTAAAAAGAAGCCGAAAAATTAGTTTCCACTCATCCAAACATCAACCAACCCTGTCATCTGAACCGAAAACAGAGTAGAAGCAATAAACTCCAGATGATTAAACTAAGAGTTCTAATGTGAGAAAGAAGGAAAGAATGTTAATTGCAAGAAGGTAGAAATTACCTCAAAGATTTCTAGTTGTTTCTGTCATCCGATAAATGCAGCCTTCTGAGGCAGGCGCTCCCGAGAGGTGGGTTGACAGGGCTGCCTTATAATAAAAGCAAGAGAGAAGAACATTGGGGACGGAAGACAGCTGGGCAAATTACAAAAAAGTCCCTACTGTGTTTATTAATATAATCTAAAACTTTTTATATTTTCACGTATTACGAAATTTGAGTTTCAGTATAACGAAAATTTTAGTTTGGGTATTTTACCCAATTTCAAAATTGATTATCTTTAAAAATTGACATTTGATTTTCTCAAAATAATTTTGCTTTAAAACTTGTAATTTATTCAAGCATGATTTGTTGAATTCAAAACTATTCCGTAAAGCACATCGAATGATCAAAGTGGTAGGAATCTAGATGGAGAAGTAGATAGAGAGAGAGAGAAGTAAAAGAGCAGTAAAAGAGCAAATATGGACTTGCCCCATAGGGGAGAACTGAGGTATTCCTGGGCTATGTGACCCTTGCATATAGTATAACTAAAGGGTTGCAAAAGAGAAGAAGAGAGAGATCTCTTTACAAAGTATGAGTTTAGAGAGAAAAGTCAAAAGCCCTTTTACATGCATTGGACCTCTATTTATAGACGATTGGGGGTCATAAAGTGAATAATTATATATATGGCCATGTTTTAATAGGAGGTTACAAGATGTTATTGTCTTTTGTCATGTTTTTTTGTAGTTATAATTGATTTTGGCATCTTTTAATGTCTTTGGACCTTCCAGTCGACAAGCCCTTGAGTTGATTGGCCATGTTGGTGCTTGTCATCTATCTTGTCAGGATGACTGCCTGTCTTTGCCCTAGAAAGCCGGTAGGCTTTGAGAGTGGTATCTGGTCGGCCCTAGCGTAGTTGGTCGACTTGTATGTTCTTTAGGAGAGATGTTGAGAGACCTCACCTTAAGGCTTGTAGTTCTTCAGACAGTTAGCTTTATGAATACTTAGCTTTTAATCTTGAACCGTCAAATTATCTCGAGATTCGTGAAGGCCATTTTTAGGTCTACATATTAAGTTCCCCAATATTTTTACTTCTTGATAGCAAAAGTTGCGATAAGGATAAAGAAATTTTACATGAAATAGATCGAATCTTAATAGTCATAATTTAATGTAATAAATAGACTGCATGGATTTTTCGTGCCTACAATCCTTATATAGAGAACATAGGGGGAAATTCTTATTTTCTAAAGTTAAATTATTCCTTGCATCCTCAAATTATTCCTTTCGCGAAGCTCGTTGTTCGCGAACAGTTCGTGTTCGGTTCGTCAATAAGTTTGTGTTCAATTCGTTCGATAAGTAAACGAGATGAAAGCGAACAAATTTTTTTTGTTCGGTTTCTTAAATGAACCAAACACGAACAGTGATGCGTTCGTTCGTGTTCGAATCGTTATTGTTTGAAATATAAAATAATTTAAAATAATTATATATAAAAAATTTATGATATTTTAAAACATTAAATTTTATAAATTATAATATATAATAAATTATTAATAATAATATATTAATATATTATAGTTCGTGTTCGAATTGTTATTGTTTGAAATATAAAATAATATAAAATAATTATATATAAAAAATTTATTATATTTTAAAACATTAAATTTTATAAATTATAATATATAATAAATTATTAATAATAATATATTAATATATTATAGTAGTAATATACTAATATAGATATTGTATATTTATATAATATAAGTTATATAATTAATATATAATATTATTTTTATATATTAATATTATGGATGTCAAACTGGCTAGTCGTTCGCGAACAACTCGTGTCCGGTTCGTGTTCGACTCGTTCGTTAAGAAACGAACACGAGCTTATTTCAAACAAACTAAATTTTAAACGAACCGAACACGAACACAAGCTTTGTTCGTTCGTGTTCGGTTTGTTTACACCCCTACTTGCATCTTCTTAACTTCTGTGATTCCATGATGAAGAAAGGGTTTGCTTCGAAGCTCAAACTTGCAGACCGGGCAAAAATGTAGGCTGCCCTTGGTATAAGACAACTTCAACCTGAGGGAGAGTTTAAAGATAAAGGCTAGCAAAGAAACTGAAACCCATTGGGCAAGTGGAGAAGGATGAGTCGTCCGACTCAATTTGAGGAACTTCTAAAAGGTTAAACACAACAGTAGGATAGAGCTAAGTGGTTCAACAATTGATCCATCGATGAAGATTCTTGTTGAAGTTCAAGCCCAAAGTGGGGTCACTAACATCTCCTCACTGATTGGTGTACAAGGAGTTGACAGCAGTGAACCTCAGGTCGATGAAAAAGGGTCGGCTGATGACCTCCCATCTTTTAATGTGGGTGGAACTACCTAGTCTGAAGTGAATCAGATTATGGGTAAACCATTCTCTTTCTTTTCTCTTTATTACAGTTTCATGTTATTCACTCATTTGATTTTTGCTTCTTATAGATGAGGATACTTAAGTTAGGGGATTGTCAATCGGTGGTGGTAGCCAAAATTCAACCTTGCTGACAAATCCCATTCCTCTGACACCGACTCGCAGCAAGGAAAATGTGGCCTACTGCCCAGTCAATCCTGTGAGGCCCACGGAGAGACATTTGATGGACACTTCATATCTCCAAGAACCTTGACCCATTGCTTGAAAGAAGTGGAGTCTGCTTTGACTTAGTAGGAAAACGATCATTGTTTGGTGTTGGAGGAAATGTGGGGGGAGGTAGTCAATCTTCGCCGAGAGGTGATAGAGCTACAGGAAGATGCATCTGTGCAGAGGGTTCATTCTATGGCTGATCGAGCAAATCAATTCAAACTTGGGGATCAAATATTGTATAGAATGTTGGTTACGGTAGGTTTGATCCTGGCCGAGGAGACAGAGTACTAATTTGTAAAGTACTTTTTTTTAAAGTAGATTTTGATTGTAAGTATCCTTTTTAATAAATAAATATTTTTTTTTCTTTCTCGATTTTTATGTCGACGCTATCTTTTCTCTCGAAATGCTCACCCGTCGTTTCTACTTCTGTTTGATCTCTAGAAAAGAGGTTGAGTGCCCCATTAATGCTCCTTCTATAATTTATTTCATGTTCTTTTCATTTGGTTTGTATTTCCCTTCGAGTTTAGCTACTCATCCTTTATTTCTATTTTCTGATGGCACCCAAGCGAACTCCCCAGACCTTTAGTTTGGTGGCTATAGTTAAGTGCTCTATACTGTCCCCATCTGAAATTGCTTTCTTGACAGAAGTCTATATCTTTGACTGACCATGAAGATGAGAACCTCCCGCTAGGATGAGAGGGCGACTGGTAGGTACGAAGATGGTTTGGTCCTTTATTAGGATCAATTTCAGTATAGACTGACTTCAGGTCACCTTCAATCGATACCGGGTTATTCCCACATAAATCAAGTTAAAATCCATTGTTCTAATGATGTATTAAATCATTTTATGCCAAGAAAAGAAATCACATGGTTGACTGACCTATTCAACCAAATGTTCTCCTTTTGCATGGAGTTGGACGGATATGTCCAATTTGGAATAACTGGACAGTTCTAATTTTCCAGGCTGAAATAAAAAGTTAAGGATTGGAAATATATTTTTTCATCACCTTGTCATCTGAGAGCTAGGGTGTAAGGACCATTCTGACTGGTGACATCCTCCATAAGAAGAAAGGTACTGATTATAGTTGGATTTAGGGGGCTGAAATTGAGGGTCAAATACTCTCAGTTCCCTAGTAGACCGAGTTAGTGACCGTAAACCGAGTCCTATTTCTTGGGGTATATAGCCAAATGATAGTAAAACTCTAAGCCCCTATAAGACTTCTGAAGTCAATCAAGAAAAAAGAGGTAGCTACTTGGATAGCCAGAAAGCAGGCTAATGCTGAGGCCAAGGTAGGAGAAGCCTCTAGGCAAGAAGCGGTGATAGCTGGAGGGGGGTCGATCTAGGCTCAAGGCAGAGTAGTCGACTCGATAGGTGAGTACTTTCTTTTTTTGATTTTTATAACCACAGTAGTGATTAAACATATTTTGACTGGTGAACTGACTGTTATTGTTAGGAAGTGTGTAGTTCATGTTAGCATTAATACATATCGCTGGGATGTAACTCCTTCTGATTGACAAGAACTTGAGGGACCACTCGGTTGCCTAGAGGGATGAAGATCATTTTTTTGAGGAGGCAAGAGCATACCCAACTGCACCCTACCAAGATGCTTCATTTATTGATCTATCCACTAGGAGCGAGGCTAGTCGGCCAACTTCTTCCATACAAAATGAATCTGAAACTAATCTGGAGGTAGGATCTCTCGAGGTAGTGCAAAACTGTAAAAGAAAGGAATCAGTTGCAGAGTCGACTCCTTCCCCCTGTCCTTTCAAAAGAAGAGGAAGGGTTCCCCGCTCAGCTGGGTACTTTCTCAGTGTCAGGGTTTCAACATTTGGAACTCTTCAGACAATTGGTTCACAACCATCATTCAATCGATGAATTTTTATGACAATTTACCATATGTCAAAATCAATCCTTCAATTTATTTAGAGGTTTCCTCATCAAGTACGTTTGTGAATTCTCTCTAGAAGTTCAAGCTATTGGATTTGTACAAGAAGACTAATCAATATCATATGAAGGTGTGGGAGAACTCTCACATTCAGCTAATGGCTCTGGACTGGGCTAAAATGAAGTGGGTCACCATTGCACGGAGACCAAAACTTTGGCTAGGCTTGCAAATGAGGCAAAGAAGCAAGTAATGGTGGCCAGAGAAAGCTAACAACGGCAGAGGAAGAGTTATTCACTGTCTCTGATCTTCTATTGAACGTTGAACCAAAAAAATCACAAGTTAAAATTGAAGATGCAACGATGAAGTTTGAGGAAAAGTTTTTTGAATCATTTCCATCCCACCCGAGGCTGGAGAAGATTTTAGGTGAGCAGCTCTGAATTGGAAGCATCAAAACAATCGATTTGTTCATTCAATTGGGCTTGGTTGATCCGAATTATGCCTGACAACGACACTATAAAAGACTTCACTGCTCTCTACACCAGTTCTAAAGGGTCATCCGAGGATGACTTGGAAGATGAAGATGCAAAATGA